AAGGAGCTTCAAGGAACTGCTACGCGACAGCTCCGCGTTGGAGAGGAATCTCCCCCCCATCCGTGCAGTTGCTACATTTCTTGAAGTTCCTGGCCCTGAAGGTAAAGGAAGCCGCACGCGGCAGTCCCATTTTGGAGGAGGGGCCGCCCTCCATCCTTGAAGCTGTTGCAAACCATGTGCGCGGCGCTGTGGCGAAAGCCGCCTGTTGAAGTGGAGCCGAGCCACATCCATATAACTCCTTTGAGCTTCCATAGCGAATGTGCGCGGCGCTGGGGCGAAAGCCACGTTTTGGAAATGACCTATGCTTCATCGCTGGAACTATTGCAAACTTCAAACCGAATGTGCGCAGCACGAATGCGAGAACTCCTATTGGAGAACGGCCTCATCCGTGCAGCTGCTGCAGAGTTCGAACTTGAGGGTCATACGTGGCGCGGAAGCCTCAAGCGAAACGCTCAAGACCGCCCTTCCGACACGCCTGTGGGTGCGACATGGAGAAGTTGGTCGTCGACGCGGAGGAAACATGATGGAGGGGGGAGGAGGAGGGGGGAGGAGGGAGGGGGAGGGACAAGCTAGGTTCGCTCGCGTCATATCTGATGTCCGACCCCTGCTTCACATACCTTGCCATGCTGTAGATATCCCCTCTATTTGCACAGTCGGACGTCGCAGCATGGCATAGCATGACATAGCATAGCATGGCGTATAATATCAACGCGCAGCATGACATAGCATGGCGTGGCGACGCCCCTATTTTTGGGGGGGGCTTCTGCGGCCCCAAGAATCAACGAATCGACACCGAAGGTGTCATCACTTCCGATGGTTTTTTCGGGGGGGGGGGGGGGGGGGGGGGGGGGGGGGCATTTTCTAGATTTTGGGGCCTATTTGGAAGGACTGGGAACCCTGCCGTGATATGGCACTGGAAATAATGACACCAGCGCTGCAGCGGGAGCACGATTCGGAACGAGTGGAAGCGCGGAAATGAGTCCAACGCTGCAGCGAGAGCACGATTCGGAACGAGCGGAAGCGCAGACATGAGGCCAGCGCTGCAGCGGGAGCACGATTCGGAACGAGCGGAAGCCCGCAGATGAGGCCAGCGTTTCAGCGGGAACAACATTTGGAAAAAAACTCAAGCGAAAACCGAGTTCCCGGGAGTCCTCCGTAAAAACAATACGCGGAAGGGGGGCCGGATTTCTTCCGGACGTCATCAGGGGAGAGAGGAGAGTAATATTCATATTGTGTAACTGTGGAGGGAGAGGGGAAGAGGAAGAGGAGGAGGCGGAGGATAAGGAGGAGGAGGATTCAAGACGAGGGCGAAAATTTCAAGCTTAGCAGGATTAACAGCATTAGCGCAACCAGGGTCTCTGACCGCAGTGGAGTCCTCCGTAAAACAATACGCGGAAGGGGGGCCGGATTTCTTCCGGACGTCATCAGGGGAGAGAGGAGAGTAGTATTCATATTGTGTAACTGTGGAGGGAGAGGGGAAGAGGAAGAGGAGGAGGCGGAGGATAAGGAGGAGGAGGATTCGAGACGAGGGCGAAAACTTCAAGCCTAGCAGGATTAACAGCATTAGCGCAACCAGGGTCTCTGACCGCAGTGGAAACCAAGACGCAGGGTAGCCTGCGGCGACGGGCCTGGGCCGCCCTCACAGCGCAAAGCTGAGGAACAAAACACCAGGGGACCCCGACGCGAGAACCTGAAGCGGAGACGGAGGAGGGGTCGAGGAGCGCAAATAGAGCACGCGGGAGGAGGGGAGAGGAGGGAGCAGGGAGGGGGGAGGGGAAGGAGGGGGAAGGAGGGAGGAGGAGGTGGAGGAGGAGGAGAAGAGAGGAATAGGAGGAGGAGGGGGAGGAGGAGGAGGAGGAGGAAGAGGAGGAGGAGGAAGAGGAGGAGGAGAAGGATCACAAGATTGACGAGGATTCGGAGGAGGAGGAGGAGGAGAAGGATTAGGGAAGGGCAGGATGGACGGGGAGGAGGTCAGCATCAGCATCAGCATCAGCATCAGCATCAGCATCAGCATCATCATCAACAACACCATCATCACCACCACCATAATCATCATCATGATCATCACCATCATCAGCAGCATCATCATCATCATCATCATCGTCAGCATCATCATCATCATCATCATCATCATCATCGTCGTCGTCAGCAGCATCGGCATGACCATCATCATCACCATCATCAAAACTAACACCATCATCGTCGTCATCATCATCATCATCATCAGCATCAGCATCAGCATCAGCATCAGCATCAGCATCATCATCATCATCATCATCATCATCATCATCATCATCATCATCATCATCATCATCATCATCATCGTCAGCATCATCATCAGCAGCATCATCATCATTGCCACCTTCATCGTCATCATCATCATCATCATCAGCATCATCATCATCATCATCATCATCATCATAATCATCATCGTTATCGTCTTCGTCATCGTTATCGTCATCATCGTCATGGTCATCATCATCAACAACAACATCATCATCCTTCTCCGCATCCTCTCTCCGTATCCTCAGCATTCCATTTGCCCTTCCCCACCTCCTTCCCCCCCTCTCCCCCCCCCGGCCCCCACGGCTCCCAGAACCACCCCCCGAGACTCCAGGCACCCCCTGTGGCCCTGCGGCAGCCCCCCCCCCCCGGAGGACGCCCCGAAGAGGACGGCACGGGGCCTTGTCCTCGGACACCGCCCGCAGAAGCTGCAGGTGCATCGACTCCTTCTCCGCGCCGGCGGTCGCGGGGGCGGCCTCGGCCGCCGCCTGCGGGAAGGAGCCGGAAAAATCATATCCAGCCTCCTGCTGCTGCTCGTCCAACTCCTCCTCCTCCTCCTCCTCCTCCTCCTCCTCCTCCTCCTCCTCCTCCATGTTCTTCCTGATTGTTTTTCGTTTTTAAAAACTCATGCTTGTCGCACCCCGAGGACGGTCGAAAGGGCGGGCCAGGCGTTTCGCCTAAGACTTCCTTACCACTTATGATCCGGAGGGTAAAGCGTATAATTGGAAGCAGTTTCACAATCGGAGAGCGGGTGGTTACCAAAATGTGGCCCTCGCCGTAGTAGAACCGCGCACCATCGTCTTAAACATTTGCAAGAGCTCCACGGATTGAGGGCGGGTCGTTTTCAAAGTGTGGCTCTTACCTTAGCGCTGCGCACACTTGTGTTCAATATGTGCAAGAGCTTCACGGGGTGAGGGCAGCTGTTTTTTCAAAATGTGGCTCTTGCCTTAGCCCCGCGCGCATAGGTCTCAAGCATTTGCAAGAGCTTCACGAATTGAAGACGATTCCTTTTCAACATGTGGCTCTAGCCTTAGCGCCGCGCACATTCGTTTTAAATGTTTGCAGAACTAGACTCAGTGATGATCCCCATGGTTACCGTACTGGAATCAGTGCTTTGGAGCGGTTCAGGACTGTCAGGGCGCAGAAGTTGCGGTAATTGGCGGCGTTGAAGTCCCAGGAATGGTGTTGTGGAAAGATTCAGGATCGTCAAGACGCAACAGCTAAAGTGGCGCGTGGCGCTAAAGGCCCGAGAACGCTGTTTTGGTACGCTTCAGGGTCATCAAACGGTTGTCTCCCAACGGGGCACTTCCCTCAAAGGATTCTAACATAATTGATGAGTCTTGGCTTTGCACCGGTCCTCCTCCTCCTCCTCCTCCTCCTCCTCCTCCGCCTCCTCACCCTCCTCACTCTCCTTCTCATCATCCCCCTCCCCCGCCTATCTACAACCATCTCCAGCCCACTCTGGCGTCGCCACTGGCCGGCATTCTGCGGACAGGCACTCCCCTCATCCTCGTTGCTCCCTCTTCTCGTCGGCAAGCCATGGGGGCACGCAAGCCGGGGGCGCCACCTCCTCCTCTCCCCCTCTCCCCGCCCCCCACCTCTCCCTTCCCCTCGTCCACGCCATTCGGCCTCGCCCCTCCTCTCCCCCCCCGCCTCGCCAGATCCTTGCTTTCGGCGAGCTCGGATGTTCTGGTCTGCCCTTCCTCTCGCTTCCGCCCCGCCGGCGCCTGTGCGGGCGTGAGGAGGGCCATGCGGCGGTCGTTCTCGGCGGAGGCGGCGGGGACTACCCCCTCCTGGGCGTAGCCTGGCACGGGCAGCCACTGTCCTTTTCGCCCTCCTTCGCCGTCATCATCATCATCATCATCATCATCATCATCATCATCATCATCATCATCATCATCATCATCATCATCATCATCATCATCATCATCATCATCATCATCATCATCATCATCATCATCATCTTCATCATCATCATCATCATCATCATCATCATCATCATCATCATTTTATCATCATCCTCATGTTCATCATCATCAGCATCGCCATCATCATCATCATCCTCATCCTCATCTTCAGCAGCATCATCGTCATCGCCGTCATCATAATCATAATCAGCATCATCATCATCATCATCATCATCATCATCATGTTCATCATCATCATCGTCATCATCTGCATCACCATCATCATCATCATCATCATCCTCATCCTCATCTTCAGCAGCATCATCATCATCGCCGTCATCATCATAGTCATAATCAGCATCAGCGGCATCATCATGATCACCATCGCAATCGTCGTCATCGTCATAGGCATCGTCGTCGCCGCCCTCCCCCTCGTCCCCACCTCGTCCAACCTTCCTCTCCGCTTCAGCATCATCATTGTCACCACCAGCATCATCAGCATCATTATCACAATCACCATCACCATCACCAGCACCTGCACCATCAGAAGCATCTTCACCATCAACAGCATCGCCGTCATCAGCAGCAGCAGCATCATCTTCTTCAGCAACGGCATCACCACCGTCGCCCGCACCCCCACCAACGCCATCGTCGTCATCATCATCGTCATCATCGTCATCGTTGCCATCACCATCCCCACCGTCACCACCACAACTACCATCATCCTCAGCACCATCACCATCACCAGTTCATTCACCAAAGTCATCACCATCGCCATCGCCATCGCCATCATCATCATCATCATCATCATCATCATCACCATCATCATCATCGCTATCATCATCGTCGTCACTGTCGCTGTCACCGTCACTGTCAGCACCACCACCATCACCATCATCAGCAGCAGCATCGTCACCAATGTCACCATCATCTGCAGCATAAGCATCATCATCATCATCATCATTACCATCAGCATCGGCATCATCATCATCGTCATCAGCATCATCGATGCCATCGTCATCATCATCAGCATCATCACCATCATAATCACTATAACCATCGTCAGCATCATCATCAGCAGCAACATCATCAGCATCATCATCATCATCGCCACCGTCATCGCCTTCGTCATCAACAATTGTTCATATTGATCCTTGCCTCTGGAGTTCCCGTGACTTATTCAATCACATCATCACGTTCAATGCGTATCTTCCACGTTTTGTTCACAATGTTTGTCCATGCTCCACCTCCTCAGCGTCCTCGTCTCTCGGCGTTGTCGTCGATCTCTTTCTAATCCTCCTGCTGCTGCTCTATTATCCAGCCTTCGCATCGTCCCCTTCTTGTTCTCTTCCTCCCTCTCCTCCTCCTCCTACTCCTCCTCCTCCTCCTCTCCTCCTCCTCGTCCATCCTCCTCCTCCTCCTCCTCCTCCTCCTCCTCCTCCTCCTCCTCATCCTCCGCCTCATCCTCATCCTCCTCCTCGTTCGTCTGCCGTCCTCCATACTTGCCCATTCGGTTTCAAGGCTCCTGCCTGTTGGGCGCGGTTGCTCGGCTTCTCGGTCAACGCTCCACGTCTCACCAGCCCGCACAAGACCAGAGGCGAGCGGGGGGGGGGCTTTTTGACTGCACTGAGCTCGTTGCAAGTAGCTTGAGCGCTAAGGCCAACAGGACTGGCACAGGCTGCACACGAGAAACCCGAAAACATGGACGCTGAGCTGCTTCCGCTCTCGTCCCGAAAACTGTCGGGAGAGAGGTATTGGCGCTGCTGGAGGGGAAGAGAGGAATCTTATAAGAGAGAGGAGGAGTTTGCAGCTCCGTGCGAAGAGAGACATCAGCGGAGCCCTGCTTCGTTGCCCATAGCAGGGCAGCCCTCGAGGCAGAGAGCAGTACAAGGCTGGAAAAAGGAGAAACCTGCCTAGGTGTGCCGTCCAGGTTGCGGTCGGCTGAAGGAGAGGGAAGAACTGGAAGGAGGGCCAAATTGGCCAGGCCGCCGTGCGGCTGTCCAAACCTCCAGGGGAGGAGTGCTGGACTGGAGAAGGGCGGGGGTTCCCCGTGAGGCCGCGCTGCGGTGAAAAAGCCAGGGCCTGTGTGCTTGCGTGCCGTGCGCGAGTGCCGCGCCCTCCCATGTGGGCTCGACCCCGTCTTTCAGGAGGGCACGGCAGGCCCCTCCCACGTGGGCTCGACCCCGTCTTTCAGGAGAGGCCTGGGGCTATACAAGTAAGCAGTGGAAGGTGTGCCACGCGGCCGCGCTGGGTAGGAAGAAGCCAGGGCTGCTTGCTGGCCTTCAAAACGCCAGCGCCGAGCCCTCCCATGTGGGCTCGACCCCGTCTTTCATGAGGGCCCGGGCGACCCCTCCCATGTGGGCTCGACCCCGTCTTTCAGGAGGGGCCTGGTGCTGTACAGAGTAGCTGTTCGCAAGTGCCAGAGATTGCTGCCTTGCCGGCCCGCGAAAAAGGTCCGAAGCCAGTTGGCGCTGGCACCGCACCCTCCCATGTGGGCTCGACCCCGTCTTTCAGGAGGGCGTGGCCGACCCCTCCCATGTGGGCTCCACCCCGTCTTTCAGGAGAGGCCGAGCTGTGCAAAGTAGCTGTGCGCGAAGGCCAGAGAGGGCCGCCAGACCTGCCGCAAAAAACTGCCATACCTGCCTATCCCCCTCCGTGCTCTGGCTTTCCGCCTTCGGCGGGAAAACTGGCTGAGCTCTGGAGGATGGCTGGTGACTCGAGCCGCCTATGGCGGAGACTGGTGCGCGGCAGATGCGGCAACGCGCCGCGCTGCGGCCGCTGCATCCAAGGCGGCACGTGCTGGGGTACAGGTGAAAAAGGGCCTAGAGTCGTCGTGGCGTGGCGGACTCTGCACAGTGGGGCTCGGCAGCTGCGCCCCTGGCACTGGGTCTGCCTGTGACTGCTGCGGGGCCGCGAACAGATTACTCGAGGCTGACAGCACCGCGCGGCAGGCCCTCGCCTCCGCTGCTGTGATCCCCGGTGGCGTACATGATGGCTGCACTGGCGACGGCACTGACACTGGCACTGCTTCTGGCTGGCGTGAGGGTACTGGCACCGGCCCTGTCGGCCGTGAAGGTGCTGGCGGCGCTGGCGCTGCAGGGCGTACTGGGAGTGGTACTGGCCTTGACGGCCGTGAAGGTACAGAGACTTGCCGAAAAAATGGTGGCGGGCATAAGCCCTGCGCGAGGCCTAGAGCAGTGGCAGGGCTGGGGCCTGGATCAGCCTCCGCCCGCGCCCTAGGCGGAAAGCCTGGGATTGGGGTGCCGCGGGGAAAAAAAGGAGGCCGTGCAGAGGGGGGGGCAGAGGGGGAGGTGAACTCGCCCTCCGGGACCACCACGTCGTCGCCCGCTGCCGCCAGCCGCTGACCGAGAACCCCGTGGTCTGGAAAGCCCGCCTCGGCAGCCATGGCCGCTGGTCCCGCTGCCAGCGGAGACGAGGGGACTGCAGCCGCCGCGTCGCCTCCATGGGCACCGGGAGCGACAGCATCCGGAGAGGGAGAGGCCGCTGCGCCCCGCTGCGCAGAGGGCGTTGGCGCCGCCGCCAGCGCCGAGGCCACCGCCTGGGCCAGCTGCGATGGCTGGCGGCCACGATGGCTGGTGAGGGCTGCGAAGGCGCGCAGAAGGTGTTCTGACGCGCGCGCCTCGGCCCTCGTGTACTGCGCGCGACGCGCGGCAGCCTTCCGCGGCGGCCTGCGGCGGCTTGCGGTGGCCGCGGGAGGCGCCTCCATAGCGCGGCCGAGGGGACGGGGGCAGGGGAGAGCGGGGAGGCGGCGCGGGGAAGCGCCGATGGCGCTGGCTGGCGCAGAGCGGCGGCTCGTGCCAGCTGGCGCTTGGGGGGGGGGGGGGGGGGCGAGGAGGGCGGCGCAAAAGGGCGCCATTGGTGGCGGCACGGGCGCGCCTCCTGTGTTTTCGAAAGGGCAATTTTTTTTTTCCCCACCGCAGCGCGCACGCAATACCAAGTGCCAGCCTGAAAACCAGAATGCGGTGAGACACGGGCCCAGCGAAGCCACCAGGGTGCAACTAAGAAGGGACAACGGAGTAGGAGGAGGAGGAGCAGGAGGAGCAGGAGGAGCAGGAGGAGCAGGAGGAGGATTACAGCACCACTTCAGCACCTAAGCAACACAGCGTGCCAAGCCCGCTGTTGGTGACTTCAGTATAGGTAGTGTCGTTTTCCCTCAGCGCCTGTGCCAACAGTGCTCCTGCTCGACTGCTTGTTCCACCACGTGGGCGGCCCCTCCCATTGATTGGACTCAGTCCGTGGCGTCGCAGAACAATGGTAAACCTTGCGTGTGTGCATGACACCAACATATCCACTCGGCGCATGTCCCGTTCAGGGACGCATTTGTTAGTACTGTGCAAATGGCTCTCCATATTGCGACCTGGTACTTGCCCCCCCGCTTCTCAGAAGACCTGCCTCCAAGCAGCTATGAATTCAACTTGTCGGCTTTGCCACCCCCCGCCAGTCCCATCCGCCAACCGCCCGTACCCATGCACGTCTGGGCCATCGACTACGCACGCGACCCCCAACCGGCGCCGCACGGCACATACAAAGTAAGAGCCCATGGTGGTAAATTCTTCGGTCGTGGGGCAAACCAATAACCACCTTGAAGCAAACCGACCCATTGTTGAGAGCACCCGCGCTTTGCCAACAGATGCCGCATTGACGCGTGCGCTGGGTAATGCCAGATCTCGTAATAATTTGTCGTGGGCCATTTTTCGAGATATGATGTTGCATGAGCAGCTTGCGGCGCGCGGACGCGCGTTAAGCAAACGCTCCCGATCGCAAGGCTACCCGCGATAAAGTGCGCCGAGCCCTGCGGAGGCCTTCGCCACGGACTCGGCGCGGCTGCGAGCCGGGCGGTGAGCAGCGATCGCGCACCCCAGCCCGACGTCGTGGCGAGCGTGCCACACACCCCTCGGCCCGGGTGGCACCGCGATGCGCGGCTCGGGGGGGGATCGGAAAGCGAGCTCATGGCTGCGGCCGAGGACGCGGAGGCCTGGGCCGACCGAATGGCGAAGGCCGAGCGCTCGGACGAGGGGGGCGGTGGCCGAGGCGGACCCGTGCGGAGGCGGAGCCCCGCGCGGCGCCGGGGCCCCAGCCCGAGGCTGCCGCAGCGCGGGCCGGCGGGGCCCAGCGCGGGCTGGCGAGGCCCCTGCTGCAGCGGGGAAGCCCGGCGGCGGGCGGGCACCGGCGGCCTCCAGCTTCCGGGCTGTGGCGCTGTGGCAGTGCAGCCGCGTGGGCGTGCGGCTGCGCGCCCGCCGCCGCGCGCCAGGCTGCGGCCCCAGCGTCGGGCGGAGGCGCAGGGCGCGCGGCTGCGGCCCAGCGTGCCTCGGCCCCGGCCGAGCAGGACGTGCGCGCAGCCCGGGTCGGGCGACGAGAGGCCGCTGCTGTCACGGCTGTGGCGGGGGCTCGGCATGTGCGCCACGCCCTCGGGTCGGTCAAGGAGCTCGGTGTGTAGACGCCCCAGCTTGTCAATCTGTGGGATACTGGAGCGTCGGTGCACCAAACTCCTTCGCCGAGTTCCTTGGCCCCTTGGCCAGCCGCACGACGTGGTGTGTACATCGATTCCCTCCGGGGCCAACAACGGGGGCCGAGACCAGGGCAAGCCTGACACGGGCACATCCCTGCAAGATTGCACAACGTCTAGCGGATGCGGCCATGCGGCCGACGAGCGCCTGGCTAAGACATATGCTGCGCTCCAGGCAGCATGCCCGAGGCTCGATGTAGATGTGAGGCGCCTAGTGGCCTCGTGCGATCCAGCAGGGCGGAAACAATGTCCAAAGCAAACGTCAATTGGGAGGCTACGCCCAGCTCTCGCCCGAACTTGTTCCGTCCTCTGCACGTGCCCACAAAAGGCCCCCCGCTCAACGCTTCGCCGCCTAGCTCCTAGCTTTTCCAGTGCGCGGCGCCAGCTCTTAGTCCTCTTTCACGTCGACTTCCTTTCTCATCACCCTCTTTACCTGATCCCTTACTTCACTTCCACCTCCTCTTCCTCCTCATGGGTATCCTCCTCCTCCTCCTCCTCATCATCATCATCATCATCATCATCATCATCTTCCTCCTCCCTGTTCTCGTCCTCCTCCTCCTCCTCCTCCTCCTCCTCCTCCTCCTCCTCCTCCTCCCCCCTCCTTCTGCTCCTTGTCCCCTCCTCCTCCTCCTCCTCCTCCTCCTCCTCTCCTCTCTTCCTCCTCCTCCTCCTCCTCCTCCCTCCTCCTCCTCCTCCTGCTTCTCCTCCTCCTCCTCGTCCTCCCTCCTCCTCCCCTCCCCCTGCTCCTCCTCCTCCATCCTCCATCCTCCATTTGCCATCCGCAATCCGCCATCCTCCATCCTCCCCCGTTCCCTCCCCCTGTCTCTCTCATCACTTATCCTCCTCCCCGCCTCCCGCCTCCCGCCTCCCGCCTCCCTCACTCCTCCTCCTCCTCCTCCTCCTCCTCTCCTCCTCCTCCTCCTCCTCCTCCTCCTCCTCCTCCTCAATGCCATCCGCCTCCCCCCCTCCTCCCTCCTCCTCCTCCTCTCCTCCTCCTGCTCCTGCTCCTCCTCCTCCTCCCTCCTCCTCCTCCTCCTGCTCCTGCTCCTCTCCTGCTCCTTGCTCCTGCTCCACCTCCTCCTCCTCCTCCTCCTCCTCCTCCTCCTCCTCCTCCTCCTCCTCCTCCTCCTCCTCCTCCTCCTCCATCTCCTTTCCTGATAACTAACTCCTCCCCGTCCCACCCCGAGACGTGTCGGTAGGGCGGGCTGGGCGATTCGCTTGAGACTCCCTTACTACCTGTGGTCCTTGAACTGGACATTCTATAGCAGCTTCACGGATGGAGGTTGGATGTTTTGTTGTGCAGTGTGGCTCTCGTCCTAGCGTCGCGCCTATTCTTCATACGTGTGCGCAAGAGCTTCACGGATGGAGAGCAGTCGTTTTCAATATGCAGCTCTCGCCTTAGCGCCGCACGCATTCGGATCAAGAGTGTGCAAAACATTCACGGATTGAGGGCGGGTGGTTTTCTACATGGGGGCTCTCGCCCTAGCGCCACGCGCGTTTGTCTTAAAGTCTGCAAGAGCTTCGCGGATGGAGGGCTGGTGGTTTTCAACCTGTGGCTCTCGCCTTCGCGCGGAGCACAATCGTCTGAAGGGTTTGCACCTTTTCAAGGAGTGTTATGCTTGACGTGCCAGACACATTGCTTTGACGCGATGCAAGACAGTCAGGGTGCAGCAACTAGGTTGATTCGGGTGTTGTGGAAATCCCAGGAATGGTGTTCTGGCACGACTCAGGGCCGTCAGGACGTAACAATCATGTTGATTCGCGGTGTTGATGTCCCAGGAATGGTACTCTGGTTCGGTTGAAGATTTTCCAACGGTTGTCTTCCAACGGGGCGTTACTGCCCTCCGTGAGAAGGAATCCGTGTAGAGACATGGGGAAGGGAACGTGAAGGGAGGGTCTGCTGCATTATTGTTGACGGGCCGTGGGTCTGCACTGGTCCTCATCCTTCTCCTCCTCCTCCTCCTCCTCCTCCTCCTCCTCCTGCTCGTACTAGCATGGGGGAAACGGGTCCTGGAAGAAACGGGTCCTGGGCCCTGAGGCCTTCCCCCCGGGACCACTTGCTCATGCTGACTCGTTTCCTGTCAGTGCCAAGGCCCGCGGAGGGCCCAGTAAGCCTGAAACGGCAAAACCCTCAGAACCCGTTTCCCTCAGGACCCATTTCCCCAATTGCTATCCTCTTCCTCTTCCTCCTCCTCCTCCTCCTCCATTCCTTTTTTTCCTTATATATATGTGTGTGTAGCTAACGCTCATCCCCGTCGCACCCCGAGGCCAATCATAAGGGCGGGCCGGGCGTTTCGCATGAGACGTCCTCACAATGTATGCGCCTGAAGCTCAACAACAGGCAACAATTTCACGGATTGAAGGCGGGCCGTCTTCAAAATGTGAATCTCGCCTTAACGCCGCGCACGTTCGTTCTAAATTGTTGCAAGGGTTTCGCATATTGGGGTCGGCTCCTTTTTGAAAGATATGGCTCTCGCCGCAGCGCCGCGCACATTCGCTTAAAGCATTTGCAAGGGCTTCACGGATTGAGTGCGGCTCGTTTTCAAAATGTGGCTCTCTCCTTAGCGCCTCACAGTTTCTTTATGCGAGAGCTTCGCGGATTGAGGGCGGTTATTGTTCAACGTGTGGTTCTCGCCTGAGCGCCGCGCACAATCGTTGTTGCAATAATTTGACGGATTGAAGCCGTTTTTTTCAACATGTGGCTATCGCCTTCGCGCCGCGCACAATCGTTTGAAACATGTGCAAAATTTACACAGATTGGGGGCGACCCTTTTTTGAAAATG